GGGTTCAGGCAATTCTCCTGCCTCAGCCTCCTGAGTAGCTGGGATTACAGGCACGCGCCACCATGCACAGCTAATGTTTTTTTGTAGTTTTTAGTAGAGACGGGGTTTCACCATGTTGACCAGGATGGTCTCGATCTCTTGACCTTGTGATCCACCCGCCGCGGCCTCCCACAGTGCTGGGATTACAGGCTTGAGCCACCGCGAGAGGCACCTGAGGCCAACGCTACAGTGGAGAGGTTCCCCGGGCGGCGGGGGCCAGAAAGCAGTGCGGGGTCCTGGGGCAGTGGGCGGTGAGTGCGGCATGGAGGGAAGAGTCCTGAGAAGAAATGGGGCGTCCCGGGGTGCAGGGGAGATGAAGGCGTCCCGGGAGGTGAGGCCCAGGGTGCAGTGGGAGGCCAAAGGAGGGCTGGAGCTCGGGGGTCTGCGGGGGTGGGGGGGTGTTCCCAGAGCGACAGGACCCCGGGGACATTGGGCAATCCAGGCAGGGTGCAGGTCTAGGGGTCTCCGGAGGCCGACGAGGGGGCCCCGGGCTGGGTCGTCGTACCTCTCACGAGGGTCACGGGTCGGTCCACGAGGAGGTCGAAGGCCTTCGTCAGGTAGACGACGGGGTTGGGTAGCCAAGTCTGCGACGACAGAGCCGGGGTGCGGGTCGGGGGCTCGGGGTACACATCTTTGTCCCAGGTGTCAGGCATGGCGGTGGCAGGCGCGGACTCCGCTCCCGGACACGCCGCCCAGGCCTCTGGCTCGGTCCGGGTACCGCGGCCTAGGTCGCCCGCTACCGAGGTCGTCGAGGGCGGCTGCGCCTGGGCGCTGGCGGTCACGAGGCACCATGGGACTTGTAGTTCTCCGCCTCCGCCCGGCACGGGCGGCAGCCGCCTCGCCGCAGGGCGCCCCCTTGTGGGGCCTCCGTTCTCTATCTGTGCCCAGCGCCTGCGCGGTGCTTGGGGCTGATCTGCGCGCCTGCGGGCAGCCGCGAACCAGACAGATGCTTGCTTACCGTGAAAGAAACAGAGAACAGGCAGTAGACATAAGGACTAGGAGGGAATCATTAGGTTCCCATGGCGCGCCAGGTATTGTGCTGAGTGCAGCAGCGAAGAAGATAAACAGCCCGGCTCTGATGGAGAACAGAGGCCGTTAGAGCACACACGACAAGGTGAACAAATATGGATTGCCTAGCCCTTACAGGCTTCTCTGGGCCCCCCTCTCTACCAGGGCTCCCATGGACTGGCTGTTGACAGTGAACTTGGGGGCCTGCCTGGGGCAGGGCAGGAGGCAGGGCTTGCCCTAAGCAGCTCATAGAGAGAAGGGACCCCTACTTCGGGCATAGAGCCCTCTGGCCGGCTTTGATGATTCCATCCTGGCCCTGGGCACTTGGGTGCTTCTAGGCAGCTCTGCTGAGCAGACCCCTGCTCCAGCCATCTGTAATTACACCGGGCATGGCCCCTGGCTGGTATCCAGGAGGACACTGGTCATATCCTGCCCTGAGGCTGAGGCCAGCGACATAGAGCCATCAACACTACAGACAAACAGGATCTAAAGTCACAGAAACATCAGATCTTCACATTATGAACTTATTTTTTTTTTTTGAGACAGAGTCTCACTCTGTCCGCCAGGCTGGAGTGCAGTGGTACGATCTCTGCTCACTGCAACTTCTGCCTCCTGGGTTCAAGTGATTCTCCTGCCTCAACCTCCCAAGTAGCTGGGACTTAGAGGCGCCTACCACCACGCCTGGCTAATTTTTTTGTATTTTTAGTAGAGATAGGGTTTCACCATGTCGCTGGTCTCAAACTCCTGACCTCAGATGATCTGGCTGCCTCGGCCTCCCAAACTGCTGGGATTACAGGCGTGAGCCACCAGGCCCAGCCAAACTTGTGGAAAGAAATACAAACCATGAGACCTAAAGAATCTTGACATTTTAGTAGCCTAGAATCTTAGTATCTATTGGTGTAAGCTCCACAGATCTTAGAGACATCATAGGCCTGAAAATCTCTAGAATTCCACTGCTACAGAACTTTACAACCATAGAATCTTTGAACTGAAAGCGATTTCAAGGGGTACAATGGCTCACACCTGTAATCCCAGGACTCTGGGAGGCCAAGGCAGGTGGGTGGCTTAAGCTCAAGACTTGGAGACCAGCCTGGGCAACACAGTGAGACCCTGTTTCTACAAACAATATAAAAATTAGTGGTGCATGGTGGTAAGTGCACGTGGTCCCAGCTACTTGAGAGGCTGAGGCAGGAAGTTTGCTTGAGCCAGGAGGTTGAGG